GCTGTCTCCTGGGGGGGTGGGGGTGGTGGTGAGGGGCTGTATATCAGAAATACCACCCCTCGGGGGGGGCGGGGGGGTACAGCAGCAGGGTTGTACCCCACCAGGCCAGACCTGTGACCCGAGTTGAGGGTTCAGCCCCCCCCCGCCCCATCACTCACCATCAGGCTAGCTCCTTGGAGCCCGACGGTCAGGGGGTTCTGGGGAGAGAGGGAGACAGGCTGTGATGAAGGGGGCACTGGTGACCCCCCCCACCTGCAAGGCTGGGCCAGATGCACCCCCACTTCTGCCTCCCACAGCAGGGCAGCGCTCACCTGGGCATCTGGCTCACAGCGCACGGTGGCTTCCAGCTCGCTCAGCCGCTTCTCTAGCTCTGCCACCTTGGAGGAGGCAAAATCAGAGGCACCAGGTTACCTTCCCCCACCCCTCCCTCCAGCCCTGCAAGGTCAGGATGTACCAGGGCTTGGCACCTGCCAGGAACATGGTGCCCAGTGATGCCTGGAAACCTTGGGCAGGCATCCAGGTGGCCACTTAGCGCCCTGCCCATGGCCTGGTGCCCAGAGCCATAGGGGAAGGCCCCCTGCCCCCAAGCACAGGCCTGGGCAAGTGGCATGATGATGCCTCCATGCAGCTGGGCCCCCCCACCCTTTCTACCCTGGCCTCACCTTGGCAGCCTGAGTGAACTTGTCCTGTTCGGGCCGCGAGTGCAGCTCGTAGGTGACCAGGTTCCCAGGGGCAGGCGCTCCCTTGGCTGGGCTCTTTCCTGCTGCCTTGGCGCTCTTGGAGGCTTCCAGCTGAATGAGCAGGCGCCTGGTGGGGGATGAGGGGACATCTGGGTGATCAGAGGAGTGCCAAGACCTGCCTGAGTGCCCTCCAGGGGCCTGGCAAGGGGGGGGATCTGCCTGTCAACCCCCACTCACTTGGCCAGTGCGCCATCAGGGTCGGTGAGGTTGATGGCAGCCTCTGGGCCCAGCAGCTTCTCAAGGTGGCTGGAGACCAGCTGCTGCTTGAGGGCGCCCACCTGCTTGGCCAGGGCCACAGGCGTCAGCTTCTCCTCGGCCGCTGACTCCTTGACAGTGCTCTGCCATGAACAGCGGTGGGCGTGAGCAAGCCCTGGAGCCAACCCCCGATCCCTGACCCTGGGTGCAGCAGGGCCATGTGCTCACCTGGATCTTTTCCACCTCACTGCTCAGCTCCTGGACCTCGTGTAGCAGGCGCTGATACTTCTGCTGGGGTGTCTCCTTCAGGCCCAAGCCTTCCCCGAGCTGTTGGGGGTCACAGGGCAGTGGGTCACAGAGTCCATGATGAAGCTGGGACACACGGGAGCTGCCGGGACTTCCGGCTGCTCCTTGCAGAGGGGGTTTGAACAGCTCTGCTACACCCCGCACGGGGGGAAACAGGCCCTGCCTGGATGTGAACAGCAGAGCCAGGTCTGTGGCTGTCACAAGGCCCCCAAAGCCTTGTGAGAGTGGGCAAGTGCCAGCCTGCTAATGAGGTAACAGAGAAACCCTGGCCCCCCCATTAAGGGATGGGGTGAAGCCAGTGGGGGGGGTAAACCTCGGCCTGGGCCCAAGAGGACACTCATAGGAGCTCCTGTGACGGAGCTGAGGCTGTGGGGGCCATGAGCAGGCCTGGGAAGGGAGCGGGGCGCATGCGCCCAGCTGGTTCAGAAGGAGCCGGGCTCTACTTACAATCTCGTACTCGCCCGACTCATAGCCTGTGCGCTTGGTTTGGCCAATGCGGTCGGAGAAATCTGGGAAGGAGATGGGAGGGTGGGAGTCAGTGGGGGCAGTGCCCGGGGCCCACAGACACAGCTGCCAATCCCCCCCTGCCCTGGTGCCCCCTGTCTCACCGAGCCCCTTGGTGCCCACACGCTTGTCCTTGAACTTGTCATAGGCGGCGTTGGGGTTGACGATGATGTGCTCCACACTGGTGCTCGTCAGCTCCTCCTGTAGGGACAGGCTGCATTAGCAGGCCGGGATCACCCTGCCCCTTCCCCTGAGGCCCTGGCACCCTCTGGACCTCCTTTCCAGGGTCAGTGGGACCCCGTGTCAGGGGCTATTTCAGTGCCCCTTGTGGACAGAAGTGGAAGAAGGCATCAGCCAGCAGGGAAAGGACCAGCCCCAGAGCCAGGGCCAGGTGGATGCTGGCAGAGCCCCGTGGGGACTGGGACTTGGTGCCCCAATCTGGCCAGGATAGTTGGGGTGAGCCCCAGCTCTCTAACGCCTCCCTGCTGCCCTCATGTCCACACTGGCTCCAGTGGGGCGATGGG